AAAAAAGTCAAGATTATGGTTGTAACTTAAATGGCAAGAAATGCTGAACACAGGAGTTCTATGATGAAAGTACATAACCACGTTTTGGTAACTTTCAATGTGCAAGAGGAAAACAAACATAAAAAAGGCTTAAGATCACCATGGAAACATAATTTTTTTTTTCTTTCTAAAAGAGCTTAAACAGCGAGGGGGAAGAAGGGCCTCTTTCTTTGGCCAAAGGGGAAAAGGGGCCATGTACTAATAAACCACTTGCCTGGTTATATGCAATATTTCCCATTGCTTGCTTTCCCATTGCACACTATATAAAGACCAAAGGGCTCAATTAGAATCATACAGTTAGAAATTTGGGTAACCTGAAGAAAAAAAAAATTATCAAAGAGTAAGACGAGAAAACCTGGTACGTATTTCTAGGAGACTGGTTGTGGTGAGGATATGGAATCAGACCAGCAATAACACCTAAGAGGGTTAAGGGCTCTATTTCGATATGTGTTGTTTCCGTTGTTGCCTCCTCTTCATATAGAGCAATCTATAAAATGATAATTATGAATGTTGAGTAATTGTCTATCAAGTACATCATCTCAAAATGAAAAACTTCATAAGTAAGGCTTAGACAGGAACAAACCAACGAATTGTTCTCCTCATTAACGTCAAGATACTCAATCAACCCGTCACTTAAAAAATCATCAAATGTGCGGACTCCAGCCTTAAAAAGAAAAAGATATAAAAATATCAGCTCTGGTAACAAATGTTTTGGCAGGAGAAACAGCAAAAAGTATATTCACCTTCAACTCCAGCATATGATGTTCTTTCACCCTTGATATGCCCTTATCAGCAATAACTAGCGGACGACAAACTCGACCACCATCAGAAGCAATGTAAACGCAATGCTGATAAAATTCTTAACTGTGTCAGGTATTTAATCATAAAAACTATTTCCAGGGAAAAAATAGCAGAAACATGAATTGGAGACTACAATGATAAATTATACTTCAAACGTTTTACTTTCTATCATTACAGGTGGAGAGATCAAACAACATAACAATTCTATTCAAACTGCTACAACATGATAGATTGTTA